GTGGGTGGTCGGGTGTTGCTAGAAGTGCCCCTGGCCCGGGGTGCCCCCAGGAGTTCCGAGGAGGCCCCCATGGCCTCCAGAGCATCCCTCACGAGGCTCAGAAGGCCTCAGGAGCTCCCAAATTGAGCGAGAAGCTGGGGGTACCGAAAGACCAGGCCTTCTGCGAGTGCCCGCCTCCGAAGCACCGCCCGCAGGACCGGTCCTACTGCCCCCGCCCCGGGGAGCTGCGCGCGGGCTGCGCCCTCCGCACGCTCGACGGGCGCCTCTTCTCCGGCTCCGCCGTCGGCACCCGCTCCGGCGCTGGCAGCCTGTCGCCGGTGGCGGTCTCGCTGGTGGGGTTGGGCGCGAGTGCAGGACAGATTCGCACGGGGAGAGGCTATAGGACGAGGATGAATCTGTCGTCGTCCTCCTCCTCCTCCTCCTCCTCCTCCTCCTCCTCCTCCTCCTCGTCCTCCTTCTCGTCCTCCTCCTCCTCCGCCTCCTCCTCCTCCGCCTCCTCCTCCGCCTCCTCCTCCTCCTCGCGCCTCATAGGCCAGGGCCGCTTGCGAGGGGAGTGCTGGCTCCACTGGTCGAGCCGCCGAGGGGCCGCCGCTCTGGGTCGCCCGGAGGTCGGACGGGGCTATGGGGCGGGGAAGGATCCGTTGCAGAGCTCGGGGCCGTTTCGGAGCTCTCCCCGGAGCGCTCTCGGAGCGTTCCGGAAGCGCTCTGAGAGCTGGCGGCGAGCGAGGGGGGAAGTGGCAAGAGGCGGGCCTTCTCAAAAGTTTCGGAGGTCTCCCAGCCTTTGAGAAGTTGTCCAAGCCTCCCGCGAAGACACAGGAAAATTTCAGAAGGCGCGAGGGCTTCTGAGCAGTCCTGCCGCCTTGTGAGAAGGCATTCTCCTTCTCATTTCCTCCCTTCGCTCGCTCGCCGCCAAGAGAGGGCCGCGGCGCCCGAGACATCCCGCTCCAGAGCCGCCAGATCTCAGAGATTCTCGATTCATCCTCATCCGACGGTATGCTCGTTCTGGCTCCGTCTCAAAGATCATGGCCCCCTCCGGGTCGTGCAAAGATCATGGCGGGAGTTTGTCGCTGTTCTCGGCCTCCAGGGGCCCTCGCCGGGCCTCGGTGCCGCGAAAGCACCGTGGCTCGGGCTGAGTAGCTGGTCCTCAGGGGCGAGGGTCCCGGCCTCTGTGGGGTCGCGTCAAGAGTCCTGGCGTCGGCGGCGGGGCTCGTTGACCTGCAGCGTCTCGGGGCCGAGCTGTGGTCGGGCTCCTGCAGCGCTGCTGTTGCGCCAACTGGGCACCGGGGGCGGCCGGGCGGCGGGAGGAGAGCGCTCGGCGTCGCTCGGCAGGGCGTGCGTCTTCCTCGGCGAGGTTAGTGCCCGAAAACGTGGAGCTGGGAGCATCTGGGATCACCTTGAGAGAGAGAGAGAGAGAGAGAGAGAGAGAGAGAGAGAGCAATAAAAAGAAACGCGCACGGCATCGGAGCACGGGCGGGGAGTGGGCGTTCGAGCGATGACAAGGAGAAAGAAAGGGGGGGAGGGAGGGCCGCAGGCGGCCGGAGGGGCCCTCTAGAGCGTGAAGTTTCGGGCGTCGAGTAGTGTGTGGGGGGGGTGGGCGGTGCGTTACTCGAAGGTGGGGGGGGGGGGGGGGGGGCAAGCGGGGGCTGCAGAAAAGGGGGGCGGGTTCGGGGGCGGGCGACGTTTTACATGGGCTGGGGGCAGCCGTCGCGTAACGGGGGGCGGGGGGCGATACGTGGGGGGGGGGGGGGGCAGCGGGGGGCAGCAGGGGGGGGGGGGGGGGGTTCCTGGAGGGGCCCCGTAGGGCCCGGGAAGTGCACCGCCCTTCCCCCCCTCCACCATCCCCCTTGTACAGTCAACCCGCATAGTAAGGATGGGCAACCTTCCCAAGGGTACACTTGCATCCCTGCCTCCTCGGTCCATCCTCGGCCACTTCCGTTGGCCGCGCCCTGGTCGGGAAGCTTCGAAATGGGTTCCCAAGGCCCTTGCATCCTTATCGCGCATCCTTACTATACGGGCTGACTGTGTCGCCCCCCCCCCCTTTACGCGGCGCCCGAGAAGTTCTCCGGGCGGTGCGGGCGCAGGCTCGTGCACCCGGTGCCCTGGTCGGTGCGCCCGAGCGGTCGGCGCAGGCCACGAGGTGCGGCGGCCGGACAGGGGGAGGGCTCCGAGAGGAGGAGGAGAAGGTGGAGGAGGAGGAGGAGGAGGATGGAGGAGGAGGAGGTGGAGGAGGAGGAGGAGGAGGGCAGTCATCTTTATCTTTTTGGGACTCGGCCCCCGAGGGCCGTGCCTCTCAGTGGAGGGAAACGGTATTCACATCGCTACTCCTCCCTCGCTTTCGCTTCTCTGGGCCTCCAAGAGAGGCCCTCGTCGCCCCTGGATCAGAACGTGCCCCAGGAGAGGGGATCGGTGCCTTTTGGTTTCCCAAGGTCTCGGGCTCCGCGGGACCGTCAGAAACGGATCTGAGGTTATGATGTTCCAACCTACTTTAGCCTGATTCACCAGGAAGAATTTCGAGCACCAAGAGAGTACCGAAACTCGAGGGTTTTCAAATGTCGGGCCCTGGGAGACTCGTTCGACACTGTTTCGGCACTTTCCCGGGTGCTCGAAATTATTTCTGGAATGTTGTCCTTAAGTACGATGGGAACCACATAAATATGAGGCGAAAAGTTGCCCCCCGGACAGCAGTCGGGGTCTCTAGGGCCGCGGATTGGAAACTAAATAAGATCGGTGGATGTCAGGGACCAAGAGCGCCCAGGGTCGATGCGAACACACCACGACGCCAGATGTTTCTGTTATCTTGGGGCCCTCGCTGGGCCATACGGCCGTCAAGAAGTGGCCCGGCGTGAGAAAACCCGCCCGCCCCAGAGAGGGGTCTCGACCTACGAGGTGGATGTTTATCCATAACCACTGGTATGGGGATCGATCTTCGGGGGCCTCGGCATGCCGGGGATGTGGATCATTCGGGCCATGGGGAGCCACCTCTATCCATACCCACCGCCTGCCGATGTCCCCAAAGATCCGTCTCCCAGGCGGTGATTGTGGATAAACCCTCGCCTCGCCAACATGTCCGCTGTTTTCAGCTTCTGGGGCCCTTCACGGGTCCATGGGGGCTGTGACTTCTGCTCAGGATGAAAGAAGCTGGCCTTGGGGAAAGGGTCTGGACTTTTGGGGGGCTCCATATACAACAAATCAAGACGTTTGATGTCCGGGACGGTCTGGTGGTCGTCGCTGGCGTCGTCGTCTCGTCGTCGTCGTCGTCGCCGCTGCCGCCGCCGCCGCCGGCGTCGCCGTCGTCGTCGTCGTCGTCGCCGTCGTCGTCATTGTTGTCGTCATATGTCGTCGTCGTCGTCGTCGTCGTCGTCGTCGTCGTCGTCGTCGTCGTCGTCGTTTGCGACGTCGCCGTCGTCGCCGTCGTGGCCCCTCGGGACAGGACGGCCTGCGGACGTCGCCCGCGCCACTTGGGTGCCAGCCGCCGGGTCGCTGCCCGCGGACGCCGAGGAGCTCGAGGCGCGGGACAGGAGGGGCCGGGCGGCCGGGAGAGGGGAGTTTCCTCCGCTCCACCTCTTCCTCCTCCTCCTTCTCCTCCTCCGCCTCCTTCTTCTCCTCCTCCTCCTCCCTGTCCTCCTCCTCCTCCTCCTCCTCCGCCTCCTCCTCCTCCTCCTCCTCTTCCTCCTCTTCCTCCTCCTCCTCCTCCTCCTCCTCCTCCTCCATCCCCTCCCCGCTCCCTCCAGACGCTCGCCCCACCTCTCCCCCTCCCCTCCTCCCTATCTCATTTGTTTTTCTTCCGCCGTCTTCCTCCTCCTCCTCCTCCTCCTCCTCCTCCTCCTCCTCCTCCTCCTCCTCCTCCTCCCAGGTGGCAAGGAGAGGGAGCGTACGGTAGCACTGCGGTCGGGTCGCTGGGTCGAGGTTCGGGGATCCGGGAGGTGTTCGCCATTTTCGGCCTCTGGAGGCCCGCTGCGGGCCTCGGGGCAGTCGTAGATTGAGCTGGGCCCCAGGAAGGCCCCAGAATGGCCCCCACGAAGGGCCCTAGGAAGGGGAAGAAAAACGGCCCCAGGCTGGGCCCTAGGAAGGGTCTGGGGACCGACTTTGAGCGGAGTTTGGCTACAGCAGGGCCGTGTCGTGGTTGCTTGCGCGCTTGAGTTTGACCACCTTGCGTTCCCCTCATCCGCGCACCAAAGGCCGCTCTTGCCCATAGTCACTCTTGCGCGCAGCCGAACCCAGCACGCGCGCCCACAGATGCAGCGACTTGGTCGATGACCGATGCATTGGGTTGCGGGCCTGCTTGTGGGCGTCGTCGTCGATGGGATGTTTCGACCGTCCTCTCAACAGCTTTCCCAGGCGGCAGAGAACTTGTTTTCCTGAACGGCTTGTTTGCGAGGGTTCTACGCGCATGTTCCAAGAGTGGGCGGGTTGCCATAGCGGTGGCGCGACATGGCCTCCCGCGTAGTATTGGTATGGTGCATCGCCGGATCTGGAATCGGTTGGGCGACGCGGCTGGCCGTGGCTTCCCGTTGCCCGTGACCTCCGGTTGCTCCCCGTGGTCTCCCATTGCAGTCTTTATTCTTACCCCATCCCAAGATGCCCCCCCCCCCAGAGATGGCAACACCTTCTTCGGCTCAGGGTTTCCTGGTGCCCGCCGCGCGGTGTTGGCTCAGAGGCCGCTGGCGCGCTGGGATATCGGCGGCGCGCCCAGGGGGAAGGCGGAGTGGGCGGTCCATTCTCAGCAGGGTCAGAAGGCCTCTGGCCTTCAGAGAGGCTCTCCAAGCCTCCTCCGAATCCGAAGCCGCAGAGGGCTTCTCGGAATGCCAGCGGGCATCTCAGAGGCCCCGCCGCTTCCTGAGGAGACGGCCTGCCCTATCTCACTTCCCCGTTGGCGCGCCGCCGTAAAAATGTCTGAACCGGCAGCGTCGGCTTCGTCGTCGCCGCCTCCGCTGTCGTCGTGGTCGTCGTCGTCGTTGTCGCCGTCGTCGTGGTCGTTGTCGTTGTGGTCGTCGTGGTCG